CCGGCAGCCGAGGGGACGGACTGACCGGCGCTGGCAGGTCCGCCGGCGGCCGCCGGGGGGCCCCTCGGTGCCGGGAGGGGCGCGGGCGAGGCTCTCAGCCGGGCTTCTTCGGAAAGAAGGGGAGCCAAATGCTCTTGGGGCTCCGGCGGGGTTTTTATAAGCGAGCCGGCAGGGGCGAATGACGCGTGTTCGGAGCCCTCTCGCTCCCACCCCACCCGTTCCCGGAAAGAGCAGACCCCGCGGAGCGCTTCCTCCGAGCGGGGCGCGCTGCCTCCGCATTGGTGGATCTTCGCCACCCTCCTCGGGTTAGACATGCCCATCCTCAGTCTGCGCATGAGGAAGTAGCTTAAACACGCACGGCCATCAAGTGCAGCCCGAGGCCGCCGAGCTTCCCCACGTCGGGTCCCCAGGCCCCAGCCCCGCGGTCCGCCGGGTCCGGGACCGGAGTGCAGCTCTCTTACCCCACCGCGCCGTTTTAAAGAACGACCCTTGTTAACTCGCCCAGTTTTTTTTTTTCCTTCTCGCGAGCTTTTGAAAGAAGTGCTTCGTGACCCATTCTTGCCCGCCTACGATCACTAACATCGGTGCCCCAAACTCCTGCTTAAGCGTGAAGTCACCGACGGACGTGCTTACACGTGGCCCAAGATTTGAGATCGGTTCCTCTCTGTAGGTTTTTGGACAAGAACTTTTCCCCCGTGGGAACCCATGTTGACCTCCAGAGTGTGCGTAGTGTTTTTAAGTGAAAACATTTGAGCTACAGAAGATGTAGAAAGAACCTTAATGTACTTCCCTTATCCGACTAAGGCACAGCCTCCTGAAGATGCGGCACCATTAACCCTCCTCCCCCCAGCATCTAGCTGCCTGGGAGACAGACTTCCATTACCAATAGCACCAAAAAACCCAGTGGAACTTTCATACTCCCCTACTGAAGCCTTAAAAATCTCTTTTTTGTTAAGTTGCGGTATATAAACCATTACTTTGAACTATTTCGTGAGTTTTCGGTTACTTGTAGCTCTTGCATGCGTGTGTAAATCAACTGCCTTTTCTCCTATTAATCTGTCTGTTGCCAGTTAGTCTGAAGGCTTCTAGACCAGGACACAAATAGAAGAGGAAAGCGTTTTTTTTTTCCTTCCAATACCCCCAAATAAAATAAACGGGTCATCGATCAGATGGGGACTTTTACAAATAATAGGATCTGGGTGAGAAATTAGAGGTTATTCAAAATGATTAATGGGAATTCTCAGTGTGACCATTTGTGGTAATTTAACTGTCTTTCAGGAACTGAGTACTTTGTTATGAAAACCTGCTAAACATGAGGCCTACTTAGGATCATCTGACTTCTTGTTGCCTCTGGCTGTTGCTTCTATGGTTGTCTTTTAATCCACTTGGCCTTACTTGTGGTCTGTCAGGTTCCCATGGACCTTTTGTTATTGCGTCAACTAAGTTCAACATGACTGTCTTCTATGTGGCCCTTACATGAGTCAGTCACTCTGAACATGCAGACGTTTAAGAACAGTCCCTGACTCAAGGAGTATGTATGTGCGAAGACATGAAAAAACACTGAAATATAAAGGCAATCAGTAGGCAAACACTGCCTTGACTAAACACAAGATTCGAGCATGATGAGTCCTGTTTGGCTAGAGTAGTTGGGAGTGCAAATATAAACTTCCCCCCAATTTGACGCTATGAAAACATGACTTTAAGAGTTGTAGGAAGGAGGGAGGAAAAAAGACATCTTGGGAATTTTTAAAATATGTACTGCCACAGATTGGGTCCTCCAGGAAGGAGATCCTAACATGGAGTTGATTGTGCAGAAGCTCTCCTAAGGTGTAACACCAGAGAAAGTCTAGGGAAGAGGACTGGTGGGTCCATGGGAGCCGTGAGACTTCCATGCAGACCAGCCACAGTATCTGCCACCCCAGCGGGAGCTCCGTGGTAGGAGTCTAGCTTTGAGCAGAAAAGGCCTTGCTCAGTCCTTAGTGGAGTTAAAGCTGGAGGTGACCAGCTAACTACACTATGCTCTTGAAACTGAGCAGCAAGCCTTGGCTTGAGGGGGACCCGAGTGCCACACTGTCAGCTATCGTCCATGCTTTGTACCACATGGATCTCCTTCTCCATTTGTATTCAGGAAACAGGTCTTTTAGGGCCATTCTTCCTGAAAGAAAGCTTACAAGAGGGAAGTTAATGAAATGAACTATTGCTTTTGTCATTGCAATTGGTCTAAAGGCCACAACTGGCCCTCATCATATCCCTCCATCATTTTCCATTCCATTTTCTCTCACCACCTTAGTAACTTTCAATAGCTTACCTGACTGGGTGCCCCAATTCCTCATTTCTAAGGGGTCTGAACACAGGTGAGGGTTGCTGCTCATGTCTTGTTCATTCACAGTTACAGTTGGGCAAAGAAGTATCAAGAGATATCCAACAGGCCACCAGAAATCTATACATATTCCACCTGCTCCTCTTGTGTAGCAGTAGTCTACCTTCTTCTGCTGGCCAGCATCAACTACCTCCGATAAGATGGCCATTCCTTTTCTTACCTGCTAGTCTCCGATCATTAAGAAACCAAAGTACCCAGTGACAGCCATCACTGTAGTCCAGCAAGGTCTCTGCTGTGTCTCCAGGCAAGTGTGCCCCTTTTGGAAACCAGGACTGCTAACTCTGAAAGGCACAGAGTCGTGGGGACAGGAAGACCCAGTGGGTCATCGGAATGATCATTAAGTGGGGCTTCCACCCATGCTTTCCACAGTCACGTATGCTTTCTATGGGGACACAGCATTATACTAACTTGTCTGAGTCAAGGCATATATCACAATGTCCTGGAGGCTATGTCATCATTACAGTGTATCATCACCTCTATGCTGGTCCTTCTGCTTCATTTGTCACCAGTCATTCTAAAACTTTATCTACGCAGAAGCCTCTGGATGGCGAAGTGTGTAATATGACCAGAGGACCCCCATGTGCATGGGCTCACCCTCCCTACTTCCTGTGCCATGAAGAGGTCAGGTGCTGTGTTAGTGGGATTCCATGGCTGTGGATCAGACAATCTTTAAGGCTCTGGAAAGTGGTGTTGCTGAGGCCCTGTAGGGAGGAAATGCAACCCCATATCCAGAATAAAAGTCTATTCCTGTGAGAACAAACCACTAATTCTCCCAGGACAAAAGGAGTCCAATGTAGTCCACTGGTCACCAAGTAGCCTACTGGTCTCCTTAAGGAATACAGCTTAGCATTTGTCTTTATGGCTGGCAGACTGGACATGCAGAGGTGGCAGTAATAGGCAACTTACAGTCTATGCTGTTAAGTCCTTGCATTGCTTCCATTTCTGCCACTGTGGCCTCTTTATTGCTACCCATCATGCAGCAGTGGGGGAGGGGACCTCTCACAAAAGCTGGCTAACATTAGCTGACCAAGTTGTCTTTTCTAATTGGCACATGTTTTGTGGTAGTTACTTACTAGTGGGCCTCAACATGATACAAACAACATGGTCCCACTTGGTGCCCGCTCCCATAAGTTCACCTACATGCTTCTACCCAAGACCTCTTGTCTCTGATTTTCCAACTTTTTTCTTCCAGGCTTCCAATGACCCAGACAGGCCACCATCACTGCCCATGAGTTCACACATGCTCTAACCTTGGGCCATTCACCTTCCATACAAAGTGGATTGACCGGCACACATCTTAAAGCTACTCCCATCCAGGAAATTTTCCCTCTCAACTGCTTTTCAAGGCCTTCCCTGAGTGAGACTGTAATGTGGCTGCCATCCGTTTTTAGCTTATACCCGTACACTGGGCTAACTACTCCATAACCCAAGCTTTGTCTTTCCCCTCCTCCTTTAGCTGGTTATATGGGATCTTCTTATATGGCTGGAGGAGGGATGCTGGCACAACTGTAGTGAGTGATACAGAAACCTGGGTCACATGCTCATGCAGCTTGCTCATACCCTCTGGTCCTGCTTGTGTTTTGTCCCAGTTGTACTAGTTTCATTCTATGGTGGCTTTGATACTGGTCCTGCCTGACTGTGAGGTTTGATGTGTTCAACAGGATCTAGCTCATGATGGCCAGTTCTGAATCCGTGGTCATTTGGTATCTCCACCAGGGCCCAAGAGAAACTGGGAACTGTTTTTTAAAAAGTGCACACTTAGCATGACCTTTTTGCACAATCCAAAGGGTTTGCATTGGATTCTTCTGCTGAGACTTGCCATAAATGTCACACTACATCTTTTTGCATCATCGATGCCTTCAACGTGGTAGGCTGTGCCAGACTTTATGGCCCGAGTCCCACTCAGAGGGCCTCACTCAAAACTGGCAGGCATCCTTCTGTGTAACCCAGTATACGGGCAGCAGTGGTTTTCTTAGGCATGAAATGTGTTTCTTCAAGAATTCAGAGATTCCTTATAGACTTTGTGCTTCCTTCTTTCCAGTAAGGGGTACAAAATATGGCAATGTTTCTTTTGTTTTGAAGGGAGTATCCCAGCACACCGCTGACAACTGGAACTTTAAAATCTTTAGTGAAATGGCAGGTCATTGAATCTTCATAGGATTTATCTCCCATTCTCTAGAACACATGTGTTATGCCAAGGCCTCTAGCATGCTCTCTGTCTTCTTCTCACTTGCCTAAGCAGCATGATATTACAATGCAGTGGAACCACGGAATGTTATGTGGAATGTCTAAATGTTCCAGTTCTCTTCAGACTATATTATGGCAGAGGACTGAAAAGTGAACATAGCTCTGTGGCAAAACTGTAAAAGCTTGTTGTCATACATTCCACGTGAGTATGAGCTCTCCCTGAATCTCTTTGCTGCTCGAGATAGAAAAGTGCATTCACCAGATCAATGGCCCCACAAACCATATAATTCAGGCTGCACAAATCTGCTCTGGCAAAGATACTAAGAGGTGTGATCAGGACGACAATTTCCTCAAAGTCGTTTGCAATCAATCTCTAGGATCCATCCTGTTATAGCTGGGTCCACACTGGCAAGTTAAATAGAGACATAATAAGGACTATGCTGCTTCATCTTTTAGATACTTAAGAGGGCACTAATATCTGTCATACCCCTCATCCTGGAATGCAATGCTATTTTGTGGTTACTACACTGGACTAGGGGACAGGGGCAGTTTTAGGTACCTCCACTTGGCTTCTCTACTGTGATAGCTCCCATCCTACAAGACCAGGAGGAATGTGAGGGTTGGCCTAGCTTCCATGTGTGGTGGTTCCATGTACATTTGTGGATTAAGGGAATGACAACTGGTAGGTCCATAGATCCAGGGAACCCACTATAAGGTGGACCTTAGTCAGTACTTCCTTTCTCCCCCACTCTAATATGAGGTCTTGCCACTGCTTCAGATCTTTGGACATCAGTTGACCTCTGACCCTGTGTTCAGCAGTCACCAAAATGTCTGTGTATTTCCTTATCCCCAGTGTTCCCTTATTCAAGTAAATGTTGTGAATCTCTTTAGGGGAAGGACAAGAGGATCTATTAAAGTACCTTCTTGCCATAGTGTTATAGGTTCTGCACCCTGGGGACTTGGCCACTTCTTCACTCAGTGGGTTCTGAATCTCAACACTGATTCAGGTGTAGAAATCAGGCAAGGAATTGCAGTTTTTTTTCATCGAGGTAGCTGACCTCCTCATTATCCTGCTTATTAATTCTTGTTCTTTTGGATTGCAGGTATGAGGCAATACAAATACTCCTGACTTACATTGGG